TTTGTTTTTTGAGATAAATGTATCATGTTTGGACTCATTTTAAAGGATTTTTAATAAAGAATACATTATGAAAGAACACCATGAAGTTGTCCATTTGTCTATTATGTGATAACTAACTTCAGGTGTAAAATGCCAACCTCAATTTTGACATATTTGTAATCGTCGTGAAAAATCCTTTAAAATGAGCTCAAACAAGATACGTTTAATTCCAACATTTTTCGTGAAAAACTTTACCGATTAATTTTTGGGGGAAAAATCACCTCGTAGAACCCAAAATGACGATAAATAAATAATTTGGGTATTCAAAAATGGATTTAGATTGGTTTTTCGGCCCAAACAACTTTTTTTTTTATAAACTTCCAATTTTAAAACGGTGTTTCAATTTGACGTTTGTAATTCGTATAATTGAGGTTATGTCGTCTGCTATGAATTTATTTGTGATTAAAATTGATGATAATAAGTTTTAATTGATTAAAAAGTGATTTAATTTAATTTTATTTATGAATAAGCTTAAATACGATTATTGATTGATTTTAATAAAAAATTTAATTAATTTTTATTGAAAAATATCGCGTGAAATAAAATTAATGGGAGTACTCTGCATTATCGACATTGTTGTATTATTTTTTTTTCCCGATAGATGGAGCGGATTATTAAATTAATTATTTATTAATCAAAATTTAATAAATTAACTCTATAAACGTTTTAATTAACCTAATTTAATTAAAATTAAATCACTTAATTGGTTTTTTTTAAGAAATTAAACTAATTTGTATTAAAAAAAACGTTAAAAAGTTATGTTTTTCGAGAAAAACTTACCCGATTAATTTTAGAATTAAAAATCACTTAGTAAGACCCAAAATGACGATAAATAAACAATTTAGTCACTCAAAAATGGATTTAGGTTGGTTTTTCTCTGTAAAATTGCAATTTTAAGAAGAAATTTAAAGGATATTTGTAAGCGTCGTTTTCAATTTGACGTTTNAATTAATCGTAAAAACATAATCCACGAACAATTTCTTTCCAACTAGTTAGCATTTTGAGTTATGAAGCATAAAATGGCAAAATCCCTAAATTGACGTTTTTGACAAATTTTTATTATAACTTAAAAACTAAAAGTGCTAGGAGAAAATATTGTGGATATTAATTGTTCGTAACGAAACAAGAAAACGTTATCCGTAAACTATTAGAACTCAAATTTGACATTTACAAAATTATCCAAATAAAAATATAATCCACGAACAATTTCTTTCCAACTAGTTAGCATTTTGAGTTATGAAGCATAAAATGACAAATTCTCTAAATTCGTCTTTCGAAAATGAATAAAAATGCTTTAATTAAATACATTGAAACGAAAAGAAAATATCTAACACGAGACTCTACAAAAAAAAAAAAATAACGAAAATAAACGATCTCAGGGTTTGTTTTCTAGGGCTCAAATAAACGAAACACAGTTACTCATGTTTAAAAAAAAAACTTTTAAGTTAATCTATAACTTTCAACTCTAAAACTTCTTAAATAAATTGATTCACCTCCTTAAATTCTAAAAATAATTACAGTTTTCCTCTATATCCTTCTCTATTCAAAAACAGGACTCTACTTTATCGGTTTTCTTTTCTAACCTCAAAATCTTCCCTTGTATACGAAGATATTGTAAACAAATTAATGTGATCTTTGTTTAAAAAATAAATCGGATGAAAATAATTGATTTTGATTCGTTCTGGATTACACACGAGGTAAGTGAGTTATTTTTTTAGAAATGGTGTATCGAAAATTAAAAAAAATTGTATAAAAAAAAATCTTAACTTTGGTTTTACAGATGTTGGTGGAATTGATTGAAATCTTGATTCCTCTCTGGTTTGAGCTGCTCCTTTTTCCCCCTTGGTGGCTTTCCAGAAAAACTATTCTGATGTCTTCTTTCCCAGGTTGGTTATCGTACTTTTCTTAATTAATTTTAGCTTCTTTTTTTCTAACCTCAATTGTGAATTTCTTTGGTTACGTTTTTTCTTCAAAAATTTATCTTCGTAGGATTTCACGAGCGTTTCGAAATAGATGTTTACACAATGATGATCAGGAAGCGAATTCTCGCGTCCTCGTTATTCATTTTTCATCCTTTTTTCGGCAAAAATTCTCTTTTTTGTCCATCACCCTCTTTGATACCACAAGAAAAGTGTAAAAAATTTGTATTTCTGAGCGCCATCTCTTATTGACATTTGGTTTTTCTTCCAAATTTTCAAAAATTACTTTTTAAATAAACTATATTTATTGAAATCCTTCAATGTCTGAATACTCTGAATTATTTCATTCCCCTTTGACACAATTTTTCACATTAATTCTTCTTTAATTCCAAAATTTATATTCCGTTTCTTTCAAAATCTTCACATTTTTAATTTTCAACATTTCGGTTTTAAACTGATTAAAATCACTTGAATCTGATGTAATTCATTATAAGCTTTATGTTTTTAGGTATTTCAAGAAGTTTTTTGGCTGTAATCACCCATAAATTGAATACTTTGGATTTGGAGGTTATGTTTCGTTTTTTTTGTGGCCCCTTTTTTTTTAACTAAATACAAGAATATTTCTTAATCTACGACGGAAATACGAACGGATTTATCATTGATTAAAACATTTTTACAAATAACGACGAAATCAATGAGAACTATAACAAACTTTTATGAAATTTTTCAACGATCAGCTTTAACTATCCTCGGTATATCAACTTTGATATCAATACGTGAGTTGTTCTTTATATTTTAATTATAATATTAATTTGAACGGTAAGATCACTGATTTTATTGTTGTTTTTATCTGATTGAATTGTATTTATCTATTTTTTAGATTTGAAGAAGTACTAATAAACTCTCTAGGCTCTCGATTTACAAGGATTTTTCTACGGAATGTCATTATTTCCTCTTTATTGTAATTATTTCTTATAACAAAACTATTGTTTATTAATTAATTAATAAAATTATGAGTGGGACCCAATATTATTACAGTATAGTGTTAGTTCTAATTTTACACTTGCACTGTCACTAGAACTAACATTCTAAAACTAGTAACATTTGGATTTAGCCACACGTCTCTCAAGACGGCTAAACCCAAATGATTCTAGTTCTAGGTCTAGTGTTAGTTCTAGTTTTAGTTCAATAAAAATATACAACACAGCACTATCTAGTGCTAACTAGCGCTATCTAGTACTTCCACTAGATTTAAAATACAAATATTGCAAAAAAAATCTTTCTGGCATTTCTTATTTCATTGCAAACCTATTTTTCCATAATTTTTTGGCAAATTTTGGGTTGAGCAAAATCTTTAATCAATTTAAATTGACTTGCAACAGATTCCTCATCACCTTTAAAATGAAAAAATTGCAAAAAAATTCTTCTGGCATTTCTTATTTCATTGCAAACCTAATTTTCTATGATTTTTAGCAAATTTTGGGTTGAGCAAATTCTTTAATCAGTTTAAATTAACTTGCAACAGATTCCTCATCACCTTTAAAGTGCAAAAATTGCAACAAAATTCTTCTGGCATTTCTTATTTCATTGCAAACCTAATTTTCTATGATTTTTAGCAAATTTTGGGTTGAGCAAAATCTTTAATCAGTTTAAATTTACTTGCAACAGATTCCTCATCACCTTTAAAGTGCAAAAAAATCCTTCTGACATTTCTTATTTCATTGCAAACCTAATTTTCTATGATTTTTAGTAAATTTTGGGTTGAGCAAAATCTTTAATCAGTTTAAATTGACTTGCAACAGATTCCTCATCACCTTTAAAGTGCAAAAAAAATCTTCTGACATTTCTTGTTTCATTCCAAACCTATTTTTCCATAATTTTTTAGCAAATTTTGGGTTGAGAAAAATCTTTAATTTGTTTAAATTGACTTGCAACAGATTCCTAATCACCTTTAAAGTGCAAAAATTGCAAAAAAATTCTTTTGGCATATCTTATTTCATTGAAAACCTAATTTTCTATGATTTTTAGCAAATTTTGGGTTGAGCAAAATCTTTAATCGATTTAAATTGACCTGCAGCAAACTTCTCACCATGTCTAAAACAGCAAATGTTGCAAAAAAATCCTTCTGACATTTCTTACTTCATCAGAAAACTAATTTTCCATAATTCTTTCGCAAATTTTGAGATGAGCAGAATTTCCAAGTCTGTCTTCTTCTTTTTTCTCAACTAATTTATCTATTTCATCAAATTCTTCTACACACTGCTTTTCCTTGCAATAATTATTAATTTTTATGTATTAAATGCACAAAACTCACAACACAGAACTCAAAAATCATCTACTGATCATAAATAAGTGTAATAGATAATTTGAAAGAATTTTTAAATTTACCCGATAATATTTTGATGGCTTTTGATAATAATTTCACCTTTATAATTTACTTTTCGTCGAAAAAAATCGTCTAACTAATCTCTTGATTAATTGCTACTCCAGTAAATATTCACTTCTTGCAATCGTTTTTTCCTTTCAACTGAAATAAAAAATAAAATTTAGTAATCAGAATCAAAAAATTTAACTTTTTAAATAATTATTTAACTAATTTACCTTTAAATCTGTTGATAAATCCTTTTATTTTGCGTTTTTTTACCTTTTCGTAGTTAATAAAGTTAAAAAAATTAACATTTTTAATTAATTTTGAGGTTATGTGGAAGTTTTCAAGAAAATGTGACGTTTTTCGCGAAAATTTTACCATGTTACACCCAAAGATGATTTGAAATACGTTATTTTTTTTGCATTTTATTTCAAAAATCCGAAATTTCTTACATTATTTAATCAAAAACTTATTAAAAAGCTTCAAAAAGGGATAAACACGAAAAGAGATTATTTTATTATCGGTCGGTAATACAGAACAAATATANATTTAGGTACTCAGAAATGGATTTAGATTGGTTTTTCTTTGTAAAATTGCAATTTTAAGAAGAAATTTAAAGGATATTTGTAAGCGTCGTTTTCAATTTGACGTTTATGATTCGTATAATTGAGGTTATGTCGTTTTCTATGAATTTAGTTGCGATTAAAATTGATGATGGTGAGTTTTAATTGATTAAAAATTGATTTAATATAATTTTATTTATGAATAAGCTTAAATACGATTATTGATTAAATTTAATAAAGGACTTAATTAATTTTTATTGAAAAATATCGGGTTAAATAAAATTAATGGAAGTACTCTGCATTATCGACATCGTTGTGTCATATTTCTTTCCCGCTAGATGGAGCGGATTAATTGAATTATTAATTAATTTTATAAACTTATAAATGTTTTTTTTTAAACAATCAAAAATGAAGTTATGTTTTTCGAGAATAACTTAGCCGGTTAATTTTGGGGTAAAGAATCACCTCGTAAAACCCAAAATTCGTTTAAATAAACAATTTGGGTATTTAAAAACAGATTTCGATTGTTTTTTTTTCTAAAATTGCAATTTTAAATTTTAAATTTTTGTAAAATAAATTTATAATTAAATATAACGAAAATTCAATTTTAATTAAAAATGTCGATAATGCAGATACCGACTTTTTTGTGTCATTTTTTCCCGCTAGATGGAGCTGGTTATTAAATGAATAATTCAAATAATTAAACGTTTTTTATAAAAAAAACTTTATAATTAACCTAACCTAACTAAAATTAATTTAATTTTACTCACTTGTTTTTTTTTGTTTCATTAAAGTTTCAAGACATCAAGTTTATTTGATTTTATTTCTCCCCATCCTTGAGATTTCCTTCCATTCTTCGTTTCAATGAAACCTGTTTAAATTAAAGAAAAATTAATTATTTAAACAATTAAAAAATAATAAAATAAAATATTAAATGATTAAAAAAACGATATATCGTATATTAAGTTATTTTTTAGATTCTACCATTGGTTTTTAAAGTTTATTTAGCGCCATCTGTTATCGAGTCGCTGAATTTTAACTAAAAGAAAGTTCAACTAACGCCCAATAGATGGCGGATTAATTCAATTTTATATTTTCCTTACAGGAAACGCCAAAACTAATTTTTTTTGTGATTTTCCTCGAAAATACTCTCAGTAGGTCAAGGTCATGACCTACTTTTTAATTCGAAAATTTGTAAAGTAGGTCATGACCTACTTTCAAAATTCAAAAACTAAAAGTAGGTCATGACCTACTTTTAAAATTTGGAAAATCCAAAATAGGTCAAGGTCATGACCTAATTTAAAATTAAAAATCTAATTATTAGATTGAAAAAGTCCCAAAATATCAATCGCCATCTATTGACTAATAGAACCTTAAGGAGAACTTAATCTACCGCCCAATAGATGGCGCACGAAATAAAAATTATTCAAAATTTTCTTATTTCTTTGTTGAATTAGGAAAAATTAAATCCAAATATAACCAAAATAATTTATTAATTCTTAATTTTACAATAAATTAACAAATTTAAATCAATTTTTTCCAGGTTATGGAAGTTTAGCACCAAAAACCAACCTCGGTAAAGCCGCAACGATGGGTTACGCAATCTTGGGAATCCCCTTAACCCTCCTTTACCTCTCCAGCGTGGGCTCAGTACTCAGCAGAATCGCCCGAGGAGTTTTCTCGCGCGCCCTCTGTTGTTGTTTATGCTCAAATTGCGGATATTGTTGTTACGACGAGAAAAGAATGGCAGAAAAAGAGCGACGAATGAAGAAAAAGCGCCAATTAATGGAACTAAAACAACAACAAATGGGCCTACAAGAACCATTTTACGTCCGATCCGGCGTTAATTACAACACAACCGGAAATAATTTAAATAACTTAAACAACTTAACTAACTTAAACGATTTAAATTCGTCTACGTTTAAAGAAAACGATAATTTGAGTTACTTAGAAGACGTCGAATCGAAAGTTTCGATTCACGGTTGGAGTATTTTAGCCCCGATTTTGTTGTGTTTGGCTTCGATGTTTGTTTATATCTGTTTGGGGACGTTTATTTTGTACAAACTTGAGAATTGGACCGTTTTGGACGGTTTTTATTTCTGCTTTATGTCGTTAACAACAATCGGGTTTTCGAATAACTTTGAAACATCAACAACAAACGACCCTAAAACAATATGGTTTTGCTCGTTTTATATAATGCTCGGGATGGCTTTAACGGCGATGTGTTTTAACGTAGTCCATGACGAAATCGTACACCGATTAAAACACGACGAGAAATTATTAAAAAAAGCCATCAAAAACGGTTGTTTTAACGACGAAATAAACGATTTTAACGGGAGGTTTAATCCGAATTCATGACAATTTAACGATAAGAGAGTTGGAGGAGGAGGAGGAGGTGGATTCTACGTTCGAAATTTAACGGAGGAGACTTTATTAAGCACCGGGGGAACCCCGACTTCGATTTCAATCGATTTAGGAGTTCCGCAACAAGTTGATAATAACATTGGAAAATTAGGACCTCAACCCGAAGTTTTAGAAGGAACAGTTTTAAACGTGATTAATCCGAATGTAACGGGAGTTTATACTTTAAAGGAAGAACCGGAGGAGAATGAAGAGGACGATGAAGATGTTTTAAGAAGAAACGAGATTTAACTCAACTAAATAATTAAAATTAATGGAAAATTAATTAAAGTAGTTATAATAATTTTTTTTATGTTTGTAAATAGTGTAAAGAAATTAATTAAAACGAACATATCTTTAAAAGAAACTTGGTGTAAATTTTAAAAAAGGACCAAAAAGATGATTTTATTCAATTTGGTTTTGATATTAAAGAAAAAAAAACGGGTAGAAAACTATTAAAAAAAAAAAACGTTTTAAATTTTAACTCAAATAAAGTGAAAAAGTGAAATTTTGCGTGAAATTTTTTCATTGGTGACAATATAATGATTAAGAATGAATGTATGTGTTAAATTTGTTGTGGTAACAATGAATAAATGATGGGGAAATTAAAATTAATAATCGAAAATAAAAAATATTTAAACAAAAAACATTAATACTTTCTTTTCTTAGATTAAGAACACATAAAAGAAGGATTTGACAAGTTTTTTTCCAAAACAGCGCCACCTAGTACTGTCATTATAACTAGAAAGTCTAGAAATGTTGATCGAGCTCCCCAATTCCAGCGAGATAACAATCTAGCGCTAAATAACAATTAAAACTAGAACACTATACCTAGAACTAGAATCATTTGGGTTTAGCCGTCTTTAGAGACGTGCGGCTAAACCCAAATGATTCTAGTTCTAGGTCTAATGTTAGTTCTAGTGTTAGTTCTAGTTTTAGTTCAATAAAAATATACAACACCGCGCTATCTAGTGCTAACTAGCGCTATCTAGTACTTCCACTAGATTTAAAACACAAATATTGCAAAAAAAATCTTTCTGGCATTTCTTATTTCGTTGCAAACCTAGTTTTCTATGATTTTTAGCAAATTTTGGGTTGAGCAAAATCTTTAATCAATTTAATTTGAACTGCAGCAAACTTCTTACCATGTCTAAAACAGCAAATGTTGCTAAAAAACTACTTCTGCCGTTTCGTATTTCATTACAATACTAATTTTCCACAAATTTTTGCATATTTCAGGTTGAGCAAAATCTCTAATCAATTTAAATCGAGCTGAAGCAGATTCCTCATCACCTTTAAACTGCAAATATTGCAAAAAAATCCTTCTGGCATTTCTTATTTCATTGCAAACCTAATTTTCTATGATTTTTAGCAAATTTTGGGTTGAGCAAAATCTTTAATCAGTTTAAATTGACTTGCAAAAGATTCCTCATCACCTTTAAAATGCAAAAATTGCAAAAAAATTCTTCTGGCATTTCTTATTTCATTACAAACCTAATTTTCTATGATTTTTTAGCAAATTTTGGGTTGAGCAAAATCTTTAATCAATTAAATTTGAACTACAGCATATTTCTCACCATATCTAATACATCAAATGTTGCAAAACATACTTCTGCCGTTTCTTATTTCATTACAATACTAATTTTCCACAAATTTTTGCAAATTTCAGGTTGAACAAAATCTCTAATCAATTTAAATTGAGCTGCAACAGATTCCTCATCACCTTTAAAGTACAAATATTGCAAACAAATCCTTTTGGCATTTCTTATTTCATTGCAAACCTAATTTTCTATGATTTTTAGCAAATTTTGGGTTGAGCAAAATCTTTAATCGATTTAAATTGACCTGCAACAAACTTGTCACCATGTCTAAAGCAGCAAATGATGCAAAAAATACTTCTGCCGTTTCTTATTTCATTACAATACTAGTTTTCCACGAATTTTTGCACATTTCAGGTTGAGCAAAATTTTTAATCAGTTTAAATTGAGCTGCAGCAAACTCGTCACTATGTCTAAAACGGCAAATGTTGCAAAAAATTCCTTCTGGCATTTCTTACTTAAGCTTCAAAAAGGGATAAACACGAAAAGAGATTATTTTATTATCGGTCGGTAATACAGAACAAATATACCGTCGGTATAATAGATTTTTAAATCGTCAATTTCAATAATTTCATTAAAAATTTGTAGGTTAATTCTACTTTTAAATAATTCGAATCATTTTGAATAATTTAATTAGTTCACCATTATTTTAGATGTTTATTATTGCAAATTGCTTATATATGAAAAGGGTGTGGATTAAATGTACGAAAATTGAATGAATGGATGATTCGGAAAGAATTGGAATGATTAATTAAAATTAAACAATAACTAATTAAATTCGTCAATAAAAAAAAGTTTTTAATGCTAACCTCTTACTCAATTGCTCCTCCAGCAAACATTTCATTTTTCCATTATCATTTTCTTTTAGCCTAAAATAAAAAAAATTTAATTTTAGGTTATGTGAAAGTTTTTATGAAAATGTGACGTTTTTTGCGAACATTTCACCGTAATACACCCAAAGATGATTTGAAATACCTTATTTTCTTTCATTTTATTAAAAAATACTAAATTTCTTGCTAAATTTTATCAAAAACTTATTAAAAAGTCTCAAAAATTGATAAACACGCTAAGTGGTTATATTCGTATCGGTCGGTAAAGTAGATTTTTAAGTTGTCAATTTCACTTTTCATTAAAAATTTTTAGGTTAATTCTACTACTTCTAAACAATTTTAATTTTGAGATTATGTGGAAGTTTTAAAAAAAAAATTATGAAAATTTTAGCATGGTATACCCAAAAACGTTTTATAATTAATTATTTTCATCCTTTTTATTCAATAAAGACGAAATTTAAGAAAATTTTTCATGAAAAACTTATCAAAAAGGAATAAACACCTAAAAATCTTTTTTACCGACTGCCGGTAAAGCAGTTTTTTTAAGTTGTCAAATTTTTTAGGTTAACCCAATTTATCCATATAATTCAAATTATTCCAAAACAATTCAATTTTATCACTATTTTAACATGTTCTGGCGTTATTTTTGATATTTATTATTATAAATTGACTCTTTATAAGAATGGTGTGTGTAAATTGATGGAAAATTGGAGGAATGATGAGCCCGAAAGAATCGGAAGGAATTAATTGGTGTTGAATTAAACAAAAAGTAATTTAATTTGGGTTAATAATTGTAAAAAAAATGCTTTTGTAACTAACCTTAACCCAATTACGTCTTTCATAATGACTCTAAGAAACATTATTTTTTCCTGAGATTTTTTGACCCCTTAACGAACAATAAATAAACAAAATTAACATCCTCGTTGTAGATTAAACGATGGGATATGCTCAAGTTCCTTCTTCATTCCTTTCTTCTTAGGGCTACAATAAAAAATTATGAAAAAATTAATTGATGTAAAAATCATTTTTAGGTTATGTATCTTTAACTCACAATTTTTATATAATTAAAGGTGTTTTTAGTAATTAACTTTTGATGTTTTGTTATTAAAAGCTCCACATTTATTTATTTATAGTAATAATTCTTTGATTTACTATAAAATTTAATGTTTTTTTGGATGAAATTCGTCGCAAAAATAAAGTGAGGTTAGAACAATATAAATAAATCTACTTTACCGACTATTAATGGTAAAAAAACAAGATAAAAGATGGCGCTTTTAATACTTTAATATTTAATTATTAAAAAAAATATTTTTTTAAGATAATTAAGTGAAATACAGCAAAATAGAACCGTATTAAATATATCGGGGAATTAAAAAATAAAATAAGTAAAATGTAAGTGTTTAAACCATTAAATGTTAAAGAGTTACCTTTAAAGTTCAAGGAGGATTAATTAAATATTGATAATATTTAAAGTATTTCATACAATTAAATCATTATTTGTGTAATATTACCAATAAAGGATGAAAATTTTACCATGTTACACCCAAAGATGATTTGAAATACGTTATCTTCTTCCATTTTATTTAAAAAATACGAAATTTCTTGCTAAATTTGATCAAAAACTTATCAAAAAGCTTCAAAAAAAGGATAAATAAGCAAAGAGCGTATTTTATTATCGGTCGGTAACACAGAACAGATATATAGTCGGTAAAGTAGATTTTTAAATTGTCAATTCCAATATTTTCATTAAAAATTTTTAGGTTAATTCTACTTATAAATAAATAATTCAAATAATTTTAATCTACTTTAATTAGTTCACTTATTAGTTAACCATTAAAACGGTTATTTTTGATTGTTTATTGTTGTAAATTGTTCATTTATGAGAACTGTGTATATTAAATGAAGGAAAATTAGTCGAACAAAAGCATCGGAAAGATTAACTTGTAGTTTAATTAAAGAATCAACCAATTTAATCCGTTAATAATGAAAAAAATGTACTAACCTTAACTTTTCCAATAAACGATTCATTTTCATTAACTATTTCTTCAAGACTAAAATAAAAAAAAAAAATAATAAAATAACAGTTTAATTTTGAGGTTATGTGGAAAATTTTACCATAATACACCCAAAAACGTTGTAAAGTTCGTGATTTTCTTCCTCTTTATTTAAAAAGTACGAGATAATAAAATAATATAATATTTCAGCAAAAACTCATCAAAAAGGAATAAACACACAAAAATCTTTTTTACCGACTGCCGGTAAAGCAGTTTTTTTAAGTTGTCAAATTTTTTAGGTTAACCCAATTAATTCATAGAATTCAAATTAATTCCAAAACAATTCAATTTGATCACTATTTTAACATGTTCTGGCGGTATTTTTGATATTTACTATTATAAATTGACTCTTTATAAGCATGGTGTGTGTTAATTGAAAAATTGGAGGAATGATGAGCCCGAAAGAATCGGAAGGAATTAATTGATGTTGAATTAAACAAAAAGTAATTTAATTTAGGTTAATTATTAAAAAAAAATGGTTTTGTGACTAACCTTAATCCAATTACGTCTTTCATGATGACTCTAAGAAACATTATTTTTTCCTGAGATTTTTTGACCCCTTAACGAACAATAAATAAACAGAATCAACATCCTCCTTATAGATTAAATGATGGGATATGCTCAAGTTCCTTCCATTCCTTTTTTCTTAGGGCTACAATAAAAAAAATTAAATAAAATATGGGTTATGTATTTTTAACTTACAATGTTTTATGTAAATAAAGGTGTTTTTAGTAATTAACTTTTATGTTTTGTAATTAAAAGCTCCAAATATATTTATTTATAGTAATAATTCTTCGATTTATCATAAAATTTAATATTTGTTTGATGAAATTCGTTGCAAAAATTAAGTGAGGATAGAATAATATAAATAAATCTACTTTACCGACTATTAATGGTAAAAAAGAAAGATAAAAGATGGCGCTTTTAATACCTAATATTTAATTCTGAAAAATAAAAAAATATTTTTTTTAAATAATTAAGTGAAATAAAGCAAAATAGAGTCATATTTAAATATATCAGCGAATTAAGAGATAAGATAAGTAAAATGAAAGTGTTTAAAAAATTAAATGTTAAAAAATTAGCTTTAAAATTTAAGGAANTCCTTTTTATTCAATAAAGACGAAATTTAAGAAAATTTTTCATGAAAAACTTATCAAAAAGGAATAAACACCTAAAAATCTTTTTTACCGACTGCCGGTAAAGCAGTTTTTTTAAGTTGTCAAATTTTTTAGGTTAACTCAATTTATTTATAGAATTCAAATTATTCCAAAATAATTCAATTTTATCACTATTTTAACATGTTCTGGCATTATTTTCGATATTTAGTATTATAAATTGACTCTTTATAAGAATGGTGCGTGTTAATTGATGAAAAATTGGAGGAATGATGAACCCAAAAGAATCGGAAGGAATTAATTGGTGTTGAATTAAATAAAAAGTAGTTTAATTTGGGTTAATAATTATAAAAAAATAGTTTTGTGACTAACCTCCAATTACGTCTTTCGTAATGACTCTAAGAAACATTATTTTTTCCTGAGATTTTTTTGACCCCTTAACGAACAATAAATAAACAGAATCAACATCCTCCTTATAGATTAAACGATAGGATATGCTCAAGTTCCTTCCATTCTTTTCTTCTTAGGGCTACAATAAAAAAAATTAAATAAAATATAGGCTATGTATTTTTAACTTACAATGTTTTATGTAAATAAAGGTGTTTTTAGTAATTAATTTTTATGTTTTGTAATTAAAAGCTCCAAATTTATTTATTTATAGTAATAATTCTTCGATTTACCATAAAATTTAATATTTTTTTGATGAAATTCGTCGCAAAAATGAAGTGAGGTTAGAATAATATAAATAAATCTACTTTACCGACTATTAATGGTAAAAAAGAAAGATAAAAGATGGCGCTTTTAATACTTTATTATTTAATTCTTAAATAAAATAAAAAAGTATTATTTTAAGATAATTAGGTGAAATAAAGCAAAATAGAATCGTATTAAATATATCAGCGAATTAAGAGATAAGATAAGTAAAATGAAAGTGTTTAAAAAATTAAATGTTAAAAAATTAGCTTTAAAATTTAAGGAAAATTGATTATTAATTAAATATTGCTAATATTGAAAGTATTTCATACAATTACATCATTATTTGTGTAATATTAGTATATTATATTAGTAATAAAGGATGAAAATTTTACCATTTTACAAGTAAAGATGATTTGAAATACATTATTTTCGTCCATTTTATTTAAAAAATACGAAATTTCTTGCTAAATTTCATCAAAAACTTATTAAAAATCTTCAAAAAAGGGATAAATACGCAAAGAGGTTATTTTATTATCGGTCGGTAACACAGAACAGATATATCGTCGGTAAAGTAGATTTTTAAGTTGTCAATTTCAATACTTTTATAAAAAAATTTTAGGTTAATTTTACTTATAAATAAATCACATTATTTTAATTAGTTCACTTAGTTAACCATTAAATTGACATTTTTTCGATGTTTATTGTTGTAAATTGTTCATTTATGAGAACGGTGTGGATTAAATGAAGAAAAATTTGTCGAACAAAAGCATCGGAAAGATTAATTTGTAGTTTAATTAAATAATAAACTAATTTAATTCGTTAATAATTAAAAAAAATGTACTAACCTCTTAATCTCTCCAGTAAACGTTTCATTTTTCCATTACCTATTTCTTCAAGACTAAAATAAATAAAAATAATAATTAATAAAATAAACAATTTGAATTTTGAGGTTATGTGGAAGTTTAAAAAAAATTGACCCAAAACGTTTTAAAATTCCTTATTTTCATCCTTTTTTTTCAATAAATACAAAATTTAATAAAGTATTTTATCAAAAACGAATAAACACCTAAAAATCTTTTTTACCGACTGCCGGTAAAGCAGTTTTTTTAAGTTGTCAAATTTTTTAGGTTAACTCAATTTATTTATAGAATTCAAATTATTCCAAAATAATTCAATTTTATCACTATTTTAACATGTTCTGGCATTATTTTCGATATTTAGTATTATAAATTGACTCTTTATAAGAATGGTGCGTGTTAATTGATGAAAAATTGGAGGAATGATGAACCCAAAAGAATCGGAAGGAATTAATTGGTGTTGAATTAAATAAAAAGTAGTTTAATTTGGGTTAATAATTATAAAAAAATAGTTTTGTGACTAACCTCCAATTACGTCTTTCGTAATGACTCTAAGAAACATTATTTTTTCCTGAGATTTTTTTGACCCCTTAACGAACAATAAATAAACAGAATCAACATCCTCCTTATAGATTAAACGATAGGATATGCTCAAGTTCCTTCCATTCTTTTCTTCTTAGGGCTACAATAAAAAAAATTAAATAAAATATAGGCTATGTATTTTTAACTTACAATGTTTTATGTAAATAAAGGTGTTTTTAGTAATTAATTTTTATGTTTTGTAATTAAAAGCTCCAAATTTATTTATTTATAGTAATAATTCTTCGATTTACCATAAAATTTAATATTTTTTTGATGAAATTCGTCGCAAAAATGAAGTGAGGTTAGAATAATATAAATAAATCTACTTTACCGACTATTAATGGTAAAAAAGAAAGATAAAAGATGGCGCTTTTAATACTTTATTATTTAATTAAAAAAAATAAAAAAAATTAAGATAATTAAGTGAAATAAAGCAAAATAGAACCGTATTAAATATATCAGAGAGTTAAGAGATAAGATAAGTAAAATTAAATATTAAAAAAATTAGCTTTAAAGTTCAACGAGGATTAATTATCAATTAAATATTGATAATATTTAAAGTATTTCATACAATTACATCATTATTTGTGTAATATTACTAATAAAGGATGAAATAAATCGTTTAAAATTGCACATAATGACCAATACTTGATTACAAGAAGCTTGGATTATTCATAACGATGAGTCAAAACTATTTAAAAAGCGTTATTTAACAAAATAAGAAACAAATAAACACATGAATAATTAAAATATTCTCGAATTGATGACGTATTAATGATGAAATAACTACGTCATGAAGTTCGTGCGAAAACGCGTGCGCGGTGGTCAGAAAACAACGCCACCGCAACGATCAACTTTGTAACTACAGTATAAAAGGAAGTTAATTCGATCCAAGATGGCCATACCGTATTGAAGTGAAGTGTCATTATAAAACAAAATACGAGTGTGTTTACGTTTTCGAATTTGTTTCGTTTTAAAAATGGAGTACCCAACTGAAGTTAGAAATATTCAAGTCGCAAAAATCAACAGTAGAAGAATCCGAGACGAAGAAAACAACAAATTCCACGGCGTTCTTCACGTTTGGAAATTAACCGATCAAAACGAGACCAAAAAAAAAGACTTTTGTTCCAACTGGTTTACCACTACAACAACAACAACAACGTCAAGGTTGTTATCGTTTTGAATTTCCGATTTAAATTAAATAAAAAACAATAACGATGTTTGGATTAAGTTTTAAATCAAGAAAACCACCCGCCGCGGGTGAAATGATGGGGTTAAAACGTAATTTTTCAACGGAGCCAATAAATTACCATTTGAATTTCGATTTAAATATCAACGCGCAAAAGCGATTCTCAAATCCAAACTTTGTCAATAAACATAACCCGAATTTGTTAAAAAGAAGTCACAGCGAACCAATGAAGATATCCGCATCCAAAGAACCCCCCGAAGAAATCGGGGGGGTTCCTTCATCACCGATTTGTATAGCCGTTAGCAAAACACCAAACGAAATCACCATTTCAATTACACCCGAGAATTTTGCACGAAAAACTCGTCTCAATTCGGATTGCGCGAGCGAAGACAGTTTTATTATTTTCGAATGCGATTCCAATTCCGATTATGATGATACCACTGAAGAGGATGATGATGATAGTGATGAGGAATTATGTAGTGATGAAGAATCTGACGTTGATGAAGTTGATTTCGTTAAAAAAGTCCCTTTTAAAAAGGTAAATATAAAACTAACCTCACTTTGTTATGTCAGTTGAAAGAAATGTCACTTTGACGTTTAATTTTTGGTTAATTCGAGAATTTTTTTTTAATCGATGAGAAATTATTCAAATAAATAGTTAGAAATTGAAAAAAAGTACGAAAAAGTGTAAAACTTACCGAAAAATAAAAGTTTAATAATAAAGTTTCGATTATATGACGTCACAAAAAAAAGTGACGTCATATAAACAATAGTTCGAAGGAATTCGAGTTTAAAAACGAGTTTTTTAATGAATGAGCTTTGAAGTTGTTAAGAAAAGTGTTTTTTATGCTATTTTTTTTTGTAATTTGAGTTTTTATTAACTTTTTTTTTAACAAAAATAAAATAAATTTTGATAATGTAGGGGAAATAAGTATGTAGCAGTTGGTAACACGTGAAAATAAAAATTTGAATTGACAATTAGAAATTGTCGAAACACAAAATGTATTCTCACGAAATAAGAAATTACGTTTTTTTAAAACACATCGTCACATATATCACTATGTTGCATTTTTTTATTGCAATAAAACTAGAACTAACACAAGACCTAGAACTAGAATCATTCGGGTTTAGCCGTCTTGAGAGACGTGCGGCTAAACCCGAATGTTTCTAGTTCTAGAACTAGTACTAAAAAATCATCTATTAAATGATAACTAACTTCAGGTTTAAAATGTAAACCTCAATTTTGACATATTTGTAATCTTCGTTAAAAATCCTTTAAAATGAGTACAAACACGACATATTTATCTTCAATATTAATGAAGTTATGGTCAACTTCCGGTTAAAAATGTCAACCTCAATTTTGACATATTTGTAATCTTCGTTAAAAATCCTTTAAAATGAGTACAAACACGACATATTTATCTTCAATATTAATGAAGTTATAGTCAACTTCCGGTTAAAAATGTCAACCTCAATTTTGACATATTTATAATCGTCGTAAAAAATCCTTTAAAATGAGCCCAAACATGATACGTTTAATTCCAATATTACTCGAGATATAAGCAACTTCCGGTTTGAAACGTCACTGTCATTTTGATATATTCTTTTAATCGAAGTAGTATTGAATTTCCTTCAAAATGAGTCCAAAGTTGACTATTCTATCTAGTTTAGTTCTCGAGATATACGGTATTTAAAATTTGGTTATTACCAAAGATGGCGGATTATTACCATTGGTTTTTTTGCGATAACTTTTACGTTTTTTAATATAAATGTGTCGTGTTTGGTACCAAATTAAAGTAAATTCAAAATCCTATCAATCTGCAATAAGTTTGGTAATAAATAATGAAACAAAAAGGTAATAATAATAATTCATTAAGAGATTTGAATTAAAAATTTTTTAATTTCGATTTTAAATGAAAATCAATTTCGCTTTTGAATGAAAAAAACATTTTTTTAATAAACTAATTTTGGGTTGTTGTAAAAAGATAATAAAAAATAATAAAAACTTAGATTGGGATTAGATCGACGTAGAATTAATTTCATTCAAAATGAGTCCAAACTCGACTATTTTATCTTATTTAGTTCCCGAGATATCCGTCTTTTAAAATTTGATTATTACCAAAGATGGCGGATTATTACCATTACTTTTTTCGCAATAACTTTTATGTTTTCAATATAAATATATCGTGTTTGGTATCAAATTAAAGGAAATTTCAAATTCTAGCGATCTGTAATAAATGATGAAGTAAAAAATTAATAATAACGATAAATTAAGTGATTTGAATTAACAATTTTTGAATTTCGATTTTAAATGAAAATCAATTTCGTTTTTGATTGAAAAAATTGTTTTTTTTTTTTTTAAATGAAAGAGCACCATGAAGTTGTAATTTTCATTAAAAATCCTTTAAAATGAGTACAAACACGACATATTTATCTTCAATATTAATATAACTTAATGAAGTTATGGTCAACTTCCGGTTAGAAATGTCAACCTCAATTTTGACATATTTGTAATCGTCGTGAAAAATCCTTTAAAATGAGGGTTGTGGAAGG